AGGTATGTATACATTGTGAAGGTACCAGAGTTAGCTGTCAACAAGATTAGCAGTTCTTGCATGATGCAGTACGGTGCCGTGAGGCAGAGAAAAAAGCTTGGGCCCCTGCATTCAGGTAACTGTCAGTGTGGCACTGAGCCTCACCTGTGTAACTCCATTTCTCAGGGCTATCTACAGTGTTTTGTCCTGGGGTAGACTGTTTGAAACTGGCTTGAGTTGTTACTCAGAACAGTTACACCTTTATGTTTCTAAACATTAATAATTTTTACAGAGCCGAACTATGGATTATATTCTTAAAGGTTTTTGGATTAAACAATATATGAAATGCCTACTGGCACTTTCAACGGTATTTAGTTTGTGCAATTTCTATCTCCTGTGTGTATTTAATTTGCAGTATAAAAAAGCAGCCCATTATTTCTTTTTTAGCTGGTATATTCAGATACAGCTGCTGCATAGAGGACCATATGCAAACATTACAGTTACAGAGTTATTAGTGTGCCAGAAGTACCAAAGGCATGTGGCATACAGCCTGTGTTTTGGCTGCATTTGTCTTCCAAGTTACAAAAGCCAAAAACAGACATCATTTGATACTTAGTGCTTAGAGCAGCACTGGAAAAAACTTGCATTAACTCATGCAACTATTCACCATGTATTCCCCATTTACATTATAGAAGGCTGTAAAAGAATGTAAGACTTAACTCTTTAATTAGATTACCTGAGTCAGAAGGCTTAGTGATTATCTTACTTCAGAGAGTTTTGCATTTGACTCAATCCAGTGATACGAAATGCATTCGGCTCCACTTGTTCATGAAACAAACAGTGACTTACTGGCATCATTCCCAATAAAGGTTATAAGTGAATGTTTTGAAATGTACAACTCAAGTTTATGTTATAGCATACTTCCCAAATACAGCATAGCTCTAACTTTGTACTGTTTGAAGAAGATGCTTATTGATAATCAAAATGCTGAAAACATTTCTTTTGAGAAAGATGACAGCTTACTCTCATTCTGTGTCCTTGGTACTGAAGACAGAATATTTTTCTCTTTGAAATACTTTTTTTTTTGTTTACTGTACAAAATTGTTCACTGTACATCAACAGGTTTGCTTACCAAAGCCTATGCCAAAACCAGTTCAGCAGAAGCAAAAAAAGATGGAAGGTGAAGAATACACCTGTCAAAACAAAGCCTGTACTGGGGTAACAGGCAAACAGCTCCAAGATGAAGAAAAGCCAAGTAAATTAAACAGGATGCTTCACCAAACAGAGCCTCAGCAGGTGAGGATTTGGGCACTACAGTAATGCATGGTATCTCCTGGGAGTTTGTCTGCTCTGTTAGCTCAATGTCCACCTTTTGGGGTGGGCAAGGAAGAAAAGTGCTTGAAAAAAGCCAGGAGCTGTGTCATAAACTCCAGAAGTTGGCATATGCTTAATGGCTTATATTATTCCAAAAGTAAAACTCTTGAGTTTCTTGTAAGCCCAGGGAGTAGGTGCAAACAGAGCATTATCCTTACCTGTCTGAAACCTGACAGGTCCAAGTATCGGAACCTGTGATAATTTTGAATGTTACTGAATTCTTTTCAGCATACAGAATTACTATCTGTACATCAACAGGTTCACTTACCGAAGCCTTCACTGAAACCAGTGCAACAGAAGCAAAACAAGGTGAAAGAGGAAGAATATAACTGCCTAAGCAGGCCCCATGCTCGGGTAACACGCCGGCAATTCCAGGCTGAAGAGAAACCAATTAAATTTTACAGTACGATTCAGGAGCCTGACCACCCACAAAAGGTGAGGTTTTTGGTCTTACCTTAGAACAGTCATGGCACCCTGTGAAAGAAAGATCAGCTTTTCTAAAAATAAGAGTTTAAAAAAAAAAACCAAACCCACACCACCACAAACAAACCCTAAGCTAAATGTATGCAAACTAGATGTTTGCCAGAAACACTAAAAGTTTGTGTATAGTTGCTATCACAAACTACCACTCCATTTTTTTCTATAGTTTGGTAGTAAAGCAGTGCACTGAGCACTGCACCAGTGTGCAGTGTTGGGACATGACAGTCTCCCCTTGTGGGCCCTGTTGTTTTCTCTGTAGAAACTTACTTCAGTAGTTTCCTTTTCTACGTAGTGGAAAACCTCATAGCACTCTTAATTAAGTTCTTAAATTCTGACTCTTTAATCTGAGGATTTTAGAAGTTAACTAACTCACCTCAAATATTATTGGTAATTACTGCAGAAGAGGGTTGAATGAATGTATTCAGTCTTACTCTTCAACTGTACATGAAAAAATTGATGAAAAAAATTCATCAAGGTTTTAGGAAAAGTAATGCAGAATAAACTACATCTTAGTAATCATACTGTGCTCCTTTTCTATGGAGTTTAAGTATATTTTAACAAAGAGATTCTACCCTGTTTGTTTCTTTCATATAGAAAAATAACTTGATAAATGAGGACAATTTCTAATAAGCACAAAAATACAACTTTAAAGATAGCTTTATTATTAATCCAACATTCTTTGCTTCAAGCAGTCTGCTGATCACTGCCTGGAGACTCTGGTACAAGCTAGGAGAGTGAAGCAGAAAAAGCACAGCTGTACCTGAGAGCATCAGGCAGTAAAGTGGTGAGCAGAACAATTGTTGGGGAGATGTTTTGGCTGATAGCAAGGTAGACAGATTCTGAAAAGTCTCTGGAGTCCTGACACAACAACAACTCAAAGTAACAAATACGATTTTGTAATATGAAGATATTCCAGTGCTACTTCCCAGGCCTTGAATGTAAACAGTATTAGAAAAAAAGGTAGCAAATCTCTCCCCCAAATCTCCTCCCTCCTGTATATTTTGTGTAAATGCTACTGGAGTCCTAAGAAAGAAGTAGATATAGAAAGAGAGCCACATTTAGGTTTCCAACATGATGCAAGGAAAAAAAAGAGCTGGTATAACTTCCCCTGTTTACTTGAACAGCAAGCACACAGTATGGATTGTAGATCTTGACACTGGAGAGTAACTAGGGCATTTGTTTCCCTCCTTTTTGTGGGAGGAAGGAAAAGTACATTTTTACAGAAATGGGACTAATCACTGGTCTAGCATTTAGATATATTTGTGTTTTGATCTCGTCTTTGTAAAGGAAAAGCCACTATTCCAATATGATTAATAATGCTGCATCTATGTAGAATAGTTCTGTGGTACTCACTGAATATTATGCGTAATAGGGGAGAGTTAAAATGGATGTCAGATAACATTTAAGATATTCAAATGAGAAACTGGAGAAGGAAAAAAAGGCAGGATTGTATTAGTCTCATTTTGCAGACTTCCTCTTAATTCCTTTCACGTAATTCAGGAGATTGGTAAGGGAAAGCTATACAGGAAATTTTAGAGTACTGAGGTTATGAAAATGCAGGCAGATTCTTCAGGCACAAAGGGGGAAAAGAAACAATGGTTCATGCAGGAACTAGAGTGGCGAGGGGCTGTCAAGCATTCTCCAGAGAGCAATTCCAAACACTTCGGTTAGGCGACTGCCTGGAGTAGTTAACTGCAGGCACCTCACTCTAACTTCGACACCGAGATGGGATGGCCGCTCTGTTGCCATTAACAGACGATGCAGTTAGAGGTCTGAATACGGAACTTGGAGGGAAAGTTCTCTTTCTCCCTGGTTTATCTTTTGGGGAAGTAAATTCGGAAAAACATCACATAGCTGGGACAATGAAAGAAGGAGTGGGTCCACTTCGTAAGATGTTGCTGGAAAGCAATTACAGTATAGGTATAAATTAAACTGAGAAACATTTCTATGCTGAAGGGGGAACACCTGACTGAGAGGAGTAGGACAAGAAGGGCAGGACGCTTGTGAGAAACGGGACAGCTGACAAACTGGGAAAGAGAGAACGAGGAAGTAACATCTAGAAAAAACATGAGTAATATGGAAACAACAAAAATCAAAGAAGAAAAAACACAAGCTGCCTTTATGCTGGACATAATAGTATCTTTCTATTAGATGAGGCCCATATTTCATTAAAAGAAAAGAAACAGACACGTCTGTCACTATGTCAAAAGATGAATAAAACAGGAAGACAAGAAATTTCTATTAGAGAAATGCAATTTAGGTTATGAATTTTCACCAAGAAAATGATTTTGCTAGTGTTGGAAGTAAGTGGGATGTATTGCTAAAAAACAACATATTGTGAATGGGATCACGGAAAGGAAACCAAAGGTGGAAATTTTTCTAAGGGACAGTGGAAAATATGGTCAAGTCTTAGATATGTGAGAAACAGAAATCGTAGTGTTTGGGAATTCCTTTCAGAGATGGAGATCAAAAAGGTAAGCTAAGGATGACATTGCTTCTGGAGACCTAAAAAAAACCCCCAAACACCACCCTGCCCAACTAGAACAACCAACTACACTACTCGCATATTTATGCTATCTATGATAAATCAGGAGAACTTTAGCTTCGCTAGGAAATGCAAAAACTTACACAAATTAAAACGGCAAATCAAACTTCAGAGTAATGTCTAGGTTTTCCAGGCTAAAACTTTATTAGCAGGAACGCTGTAAAGACTTAATATGTTAACATTTTTTGGAAACAAGTTAAAGATATAGAAGAATTTCAGCTGTTGACTTCAGTAATAAATATAGAGTATGTCTCTTTAGAAGGTGTTTAATCATACCTAATATTATACACTTAATATCCAATATACTTATACCTGCAAATTCCGGAGTTAAGACTTTGTAAAAATTGTATTGCTTTCTCTAGGATAACTTAAATACCTAGATGTCATCTTTGGCACCTTTGCTTTTCCAATTCATATCTCACTTATTCAATCAAGTTTATTATAACTATTTTTTTTTTCTGCAGAAAGACACTGCAAGAGAATTGCCACTATTCGACCCCCAAGCAATGTTCTCAGAATCCAAAAAGAAACACGATCAACTCTTAACTACAGATCATCCAGTATCATTGCAAGAAACTGGTTCTGACATCACTAGTCCTTCTATATCTATTATATTTAGGTTTGCATTTACTGACGAAACATACCACTACAGTATAGCTATACTTGTACTTCTGCTACTGATATTACTTTCCTTGTATTTTCTTTGATGTCGCTGTTTCACTGTCTTCAGTGTAAGTGCAGTGGTGTTCCCATCACGCAGTTTTTTCTCAAAGTTTCTTCGTTGAAGATTTCAGTGTCAGTGGCTTGGAAAATATTTTTTTAAATAATACTGTCAAAACATATCTTTTAAAGGCAAGTTCACTTAAACTTTCCAAATCTGCACTCAATAGTTATGTATGCACTGAAGTATTTGTACAAGGCTGTTTTGTGTTATGAATGTTGGGATTTTTTTTTTTTCCCTTGAAACTGGACCTTTGCTACAGCAACATAAAAAAAGTATCATGAAATACAATGTGGCGTGATATTTAATTATTCTAACACTAGTATGTTGATAACTGGATAATCTTTATACTGTTTCAGAAAACCTTCAATTAAATACTGATGGATTAAGTGCATGGCAATTTAAAGTTTTCCTCTCTCTATTCCAATGCGTAAAGGGAAGATAGTAGCCACAAATTCTATTTTACAACTGACTTTGTTACAGTGTTTGCCTTTATCTAAGCTACTACACGCTGTTTAGTTCAATCACTCATTTTCATTAGATTTCCTTACCTTATTACAATATGGACATTCACCAAAGATGACATTAAAACTCTGTCTGCTAGAAGGAAGACCTTGTAGCCACTGCAACACAAGTAAGTGGATTAAAATTCACAGTTGTTTCGTATCAAATTTAAGAACGACCTATTACCAGGGTTTTTTCCAAACAGTTCATTTGATCATCATCTGACATGGTGCATGTCAAGTCAGAGTCTGTATAACCACAAAGTGAGGCAGGTTCCCTTCCACAGGGAGCTTATTTATGATTTGTGGCTTAGAAGACAAGAGGAAGCACAGTCACTGTTGTAGCACTCCTTAAAGGACTTTGCTTCATCTGAAATTTAAGTGGGCAATGCTTATTTTCTAGAATCTGTGACTTAATGAGCAAGTTCATCCCATTAATTACTTTACCTCATACAGGCAAGCCTGGTGAAAAGGTTGTCCACATCGGGGATCATCGCACACTTGATCTGGAGTAGTGCCATCGAGTCGATAGGCATAGCAGATGCCACAGTCCTTAGCAAAATCCTTAAAACACAACATTTTTTAGCTTACAGTACAACTGCAAGGAAGAAACAGGGCTGGTAACACAGAAAACACGTTCATCTATGTGTCTTTGCTTTTGCATTTTTTGTTACTTACAATTACTAAATATTTTGCCTTCCATATAATATATGTTTACCCCATTATGGTATGAAGAGTGAGATTAGTTGCCAGATGTACAAGACTTTGCTAGGTTATATTTTATCCTCTCACTGAATTTCGTCTAGTTTGACAAGCATTTTCATACTTGTGGGCCCCACTGTTTCTTTTTTATTCAACACAATGATTTGTCATTACGTTTGGACATGAGACACAAGACCTCACAGTCAGTTATTAATTTAAAAATTTCACAAGTGAAAGCAAAGCTAGTAATCCAGTGTTACGGCATTGTCAAAAATTAATTCCAAGTTTGTTTGAAATGCACCAGTATTTGGATGGCCTCTCGTCCCCTCTAAGCAGCTCTGCCTAATTAGAACTTAAGTCATCAACATCCATAACAGAATGTTTGGATTTTCCACATCTCATTATCCCTTTTAATAGTGAAGCCTGTTATTAATCGCCTTACTGCTATGAAGGCCACAGGAAAGTGTGCACCTCTAATCAAAGGTTAACAAGCTCTGACAATTGTTGCTTTAAGTTCAGAAGTCCTTATGACAATATATTAATCCAATTACCTCTCTTCTAAGTCTCTTATTTTTGCTGGCAGTTATAAAGTGACCATTTAAATTTTTCTTATTCAGAAATAACGACTGATCATTAACAAAAAGCAACTTACACTTTTTTCTAACACAGCACGAGATGGAAAATCAATTTCTAAGAGGTCTTTCAAGTTTTGTAATAAACTGATTTCTGGATCCCTGCAGGTGGGGGAGAGGGAGAAAAAAGTCAACACTAGGAATGGTAAATACCATTTCAGTTTCAAACCTGTATTATAGAAGATGCTTACCATAAGTGCATATTGTTGTTCAGCTTAATTCTCAAAGGGTTAACCACTGCAAACAATGTACATAAATAATTACATCATCTTTAGGATCCCCTTCACTCCCCCACCCAATTTAACCTCTTGTATTTCCGCACGGAAGGGGAAGGCATGGGTTGGGTTTTTCTAATTATTTAAGGTACGTAAGTCAATGACTGCTCTGAGTTTTCAATTTTGGGAATTCATTACACTAATATTTTAAATATCATACTGTTTGAAGATATGCTCGTAGTTATCTTAAAAAGTTGGTAAAAAGCTGTGGGACACAGAGTAAGACTTAAATATTTCCAAACACTATTAGGACATACATAGTAAGTTTAATTTTCTTTTTAAAAAAGAAAATTACATTAAAATATACACACAATTGGATAATCATCTGTAGGACACACTAAACTGTGCTAGGAAAGCACTGGAAAAAAGTGTCACTCACAGAGCAAAACAGCATGCTGTGGATTTAGGCTGTTAAAAACCCCAGCGTCTACTCTGTAAAACTCTCCTACACACATATTCGGCTTAATTCCTGGCTCTGCTTAAGTAAAGTTTACCCCAGGAGTCTGACATAGCTTACACTAGTACCTGCTCACTGGAGATCAGATTCTAGAAAAGAAACGAGTGTATGTCTGCTGCCTTACCGTGATCTGCTCCAAGAAAGTAACACTCGGGGAGCATGTTTGGGTGCCGAGGATCTACCTCTATGTTCACTGAGACATTGTTCCCTACAATGAGAAAGCAAGTCAGTCATAGGGGAAGCTTTTCTTTGCAGTCCAGTATTTGAAAACGGAAACATTAGCCTTGTTTTAAAAGCAGTTTTTAACTGGTTAATTCAGGCTGGTTTTCATTACTACAAATCATAAAAAAGTTGGTAAGTATCCAAATTAATTGTATAAAATATCAGTATATATTAAATATTTAAATTTCAATGGACTGTAATTAAAAATAGCAACTGACTAAATAAAACTGCCAGTATTCCATTTCTTATAGACTAGTCTTAACCTTAACACTTAGACTTATTTCTGAATAATCAAACTCAAGCTAGATGACATGATCCATTTGAAATCTTGGTGAAATTTTAAAGGTAGTAGAGTATTTATCAATTCCTCATCATCTTTCACAGTCAAAAAGAGAAGCATAAAGACAATATTAAGCAGTAAAAGCCAGCCCTCTCCACAGCATACTCCTGGACTGAGCAAACAATGGCATATTTTTGAAATAGCAAATATTTTTCTTTTACAAGATACGCCGTCATCCTCATAAGGTCTGCTATTCATAAGGAGTAAGCAGCTCAAAAATGTTTTGGATCCGGGTTAAAACCTCACAGCAAATTCTCTTTTAAATAAAAACAGGTGAAACCCAACATTTTTTGTAATTAAGAGGTATGTTAGGCTTACCCTCCTTGAAGAAATTTGAATGAACGAAATCAAAGTTTAGTCATAACCGACGATTGTCTGTGACCAACAACAAAGGGCTCAAAGCCTCGTACTGCCCTCCGTTATCTAACGTGAGGCGCTTTCTGGGGCTTTTCTTTCCTTTTCATTGGTCTGTGTCGAAGTACAGCAGAACCAAGATAAAGCCACCCTGACTGCACACGCAAAAAAGAAGCAGCGTTGCCCGACCCATGTCATTTTAGCCGGTTGCTGAACTTTTTCTGTCCTTCCTGGCCCTCCCTCCGCCCCCAGTGAAGCAGCCTCAGCACCCCCCCTAGCTCCTTTCGTTCTTCACCTTGCAGGCAATCAGTCTTTCCGCAGGTTTTGGGGACAACTTAGGTCTACTTTGGTCCATTGTTGGTTCTCGGATTTCAATAATACGCAATTGATATTTTGGATTTAAGATAAAAATCAGAGCTCTTCTTTCAAAGATAACATTTCCCCCCGTATTTCTAACCTTTGACAACAGCTGCAAGTTTCTCCTTTGCAATTACAAGACTCCTCATCCTATATATATTAAGAACTTAAAATGCCAGACATCAGCATATGAATTAAGGTACTTTTTCAGATGGTTAACACTGTAAGCCTCTAATTTCCTCTTATTTCTTTATCCTTTCCACCTGCCTCTTTTAACGCCCTTTTCTCCCTTTTGACTGCACTCTAATATTCCTTTCACTCTTCCAGGACAGGATCAATCTAAAGTAATAGTCTGTTAAAAAATCTGGAATTTGTGAATAAGGGCTTCATCTAAGCTGCTTTTTTAGAAATACTGATTTTTCTAGCGTTATCATGCAAGTCCTCAGTTTTTGACAGTTACATGTTCATAATTTACAAATACACACTATTTTCCTGCAGAAACTTTCATTTTATGTAACACCATGAAGTTGTAATTAATTTCCTAAACAGGTTCAATATTCTGTGGAAGTTTGTTTTTTTTAATACACAAAGTAAGGGAGTTGCATCTTGGTGGTTTTAAGTGCTACCTTTCATTTTCCTAACTCTGCAAGCACCATCTGATTAGACAAGCAAAGCAAAACAGCACCCCGAGTTTTACTTCTCAAACCCACTGTATTCCTTCGAATCTTTTCGTACCTATCGCAATTCTTCTTGTTGTAGCACTGCGTGTGGGATTTTCTGGCTCAAGCACCCATGTCTTCCCATCAATTTCATCCATGGCATCCCAGAACTCTTTCAGCGATTCTAATGCTGCCAGGAACTGATTATAAATGTCTATTAAGGAGTTCTAAGAAAAGAAGAAATTTAAACAAATTTCACATAGTTTCCACCTAAAGCCATATAGAATATTTAAAAAACAAACTGTAGGTAATTTAAGAAGTGTTAAAATCTAGCATGTATGCAATTGTATCACAGTGGCATAAAACGTTGAACCTCACAGGTTTATTTGTTGAAACAACACAAGTAAAGAATAGCTGTATCCGGAGTGCAAATAAGTACTCTAATCCTGGTAGTTCTAACATGCTGTGATATACGTACATCATGCCTGGATTTGATAGTGTTTTATACTCCTTTTCAGAAAACTTTTCTGAAAACTGGTAACAACTATTAATTTGCATTGTAACTTGCAACAAACGACTGTAAAATTAAAGTAAAAATCATCATTAGCTACTATTAAACTTCTAACATTCTGATATTTTGTCTCTACTTCAGCTGAGCAATGCGGCAGTGGTACCAAATATAAATACACAGAAATACCCACATAACTAAAGTAGCTTATTTATTTTTAAAAGACTGTAAGAAATATAGCCTAACAATGTCATAATTATCTCAAAATTAAGCAATATAAAACCAGGTACTTAACATTAGATTTCAAGCCATGTAAATATGGTAAGAGAAGGAGAAACCGTCTAATAATCAGAGGATTACACTCAAGGGATTTCAATATTTGAGAGTGGATTAGATGGAATCAGAAAAATCTTTCATTATACAGGACTATACGGGAACAGCAATGCAAAAGAAGTCTTTTGAAAATCATCACTGAGCACAAAAGTAACTATTTCTACAGGGAAAGACTTCTTCAAGTAGAAAAAATGCTCGGCAGATGCCCAGAGGGTACGAAACATGAGTTTAGGGAACCGAAAGGAGGTGAAGAACGCAGGAGGAGAGAGTTCTGTCTGGAGTAATACCCCTTAGGGGTTTTGAGCCTGATGTCGGATGGAATCAGTGGAGGCATTGGGAAGCATCGTGAACAGACCAGAAGGAGAACAAGGAGCAGTCAGAACGTGGCTTCATGGGGAGAGATGAAGCTACGACAGGAAAAACGTGAAAGTGTCAAGAAACTAGACACAGGCGGCAGTGAAGGGAGATCAAGGGTGGGGGGACATGTTTGGAGATAGGCTCTTCCCAGACAACTTGTTTTCTTAAATTGTTTGGTAGTGGGAAACTCAAGAGTAGAAAAAGAGGAATCATTTGGGAGCACCAAAGGCTATTTTGAAATCGTTTACACAGAACACAACTGAACAGTTAAATGCATGAGTAAAAAGCAGGAAGGATAGGAGAGAACCAACAAGACTTCTTCAACTCGGATAGAGAGACAGTAAAGTACATTTTGAAAAACAAAAAAGATGTAACAAGGGCCAGATTTCAGATATCTTCTGGCGTGGGAATAAGTTCTTGGGGTCAAAGCAAAAAAGCAAATTACATGTTCAGTTCTTAAAGAGGTATTTTTCTGTAAATAACACAAAATATACATGGAATGGTTTCCTTTAATCTTTAGTAATTGTGTTCTTCCTTTCTCACCTGGACAAAAAGAAGCAAATTATATGAACATTCTCAGATGAAGAAATATGATTTTTAGATATATTAAGTTTTTGTATTTTATGCATATGTATTTTAGAACGAAATGGTGTAGCTTAGAAATAAAATGCTACATTTTTTCCTGCTGTTACTAAATTATATTAAAGTAGGAAAGCACTTAAGCAGAAAATGTGAATACTGCCAATCTCAAAATGTAACGCTTATTATCTTTAAAAGCATTTTGTTACTTTTGTAATACCTGAAGTGATATAATAGTGTCAGTCACTTAACCACATCTTAGAGTATAATATCTTCATCTTAAGTACTATTATTTCCAGTATTTTAATAATTTTCACACAGTCCTGAAATGTGATCTTTTGTGCTCTGATGACACTTAAATTAATAGCATAATTTTCTGGTACTTGCAACAGTTGCTTTCCATTTTGATTTTTTACATTTTTCTATATCACATACAGATAAATCCTCTAATAATCATTTTTATCTTTATCTTCCGGGAATTCAAAGGGTTTCACTAGAAAAAAGAAACATCAAGGGATTATAACCCACAGATAAGTTTTAAAATCCAATTAATTTTAATACTAATTGTAATTTTTCAATGATGTTCCTTAAAAAGGTAGTTAAATCTTTTTTTTTAATGCACTGTTCATTTGATCTTATTTGCATGCTTCATTGATGTTGCCAGCTGTCTCCTGCTATATACATAAATGCATCTATAGCTATTTAAATACATCACATGCTTGTCATGCAAACCATGAAAACTATAACATTCCTTTTTATTTGATTAAACAACTAATTTTTCGTCATTGCCCAAGACTTTTAGAAAAGACTGCTATCATGCTTTTTTTTTTTGTCTACGCTACACCAAGATAGCCGTTAATAATGTCAAACAGCACAAACTCTTTGTTTCATGGTCACCTTTGTACAAATGCATTAGAATTTGTATGAAATATGTCAAATATTCTTTGGAAAATAAGACATTCATGACATTCAGGATATCATCACTGGCTGCCCTGACTCTAAAACCCACTAGCAAAACCAAACTGGTTACTCCATCCTCTATCTGTTAGGTTTCCATGCTCATCAGGCAAAACATCCATTATCAAAACAAAGAACATCGCGGCAGTTTAATCTTTCACAACAACTTAAAACAAAATGAAGATTTTTTTATTTTAATGTCTAATATAAACCTTGCATTTTATTTCTAACTACTGAGGATACTGACATCAGCTGCATGCGAACAGTGATGACTAGCCAGCAGAGGTAAGGAAACACTAGCGCTAGAATAGTCACAAAACCTTGATGCAGTTTTTTGCACAAGTGGGTATCACAGTCTTTTCTAACTTGATCACACACTACTTTTCCTGCCCCCCGTGGGATCGTGGACATCTATTCCACTGGCTGGAAAGTGATCCTTCTGCAGCTGTGCTCCCTGATCCCCAGGCTGACCGGGCATTACTACAGTCAGTGCAGAAGGCACGAGTGAGGGTGTGGTCCAAGCCGGAACACTGCGCGTGATTCTGACCAGACCTGCTCAAGTACAGCAACCATAGCTGGGACAAAGAAGTCTCTGAGATGAGGATTGGAAAGTCCACCGTGAGATAAGGTCAAAAAAGTTTTACTGGTTTAGACTGGCAAAACAGCCTAAGAGAAGTGCTTATTAACTACTGTTACCTACACTATGGTAGCTGTACCAAGATACCGAGAGCTAGGGCCGGTTGAAGGACCCATCAAATGTGAATTCATACAAAATCAGCAGCTGGAGCCGCCTTCTCTCCATTACAGGTCCTGAGAAAGCCTGACAGTCCCAGGACACCTCCTTACTTTCAAGGGGGAGCTTGGTAAGTTTTTGACAGAGATACGCTGCACGATTTAATGGTCCCATTCCCTTCAGCTCTCTATAATGACCACCACAGCAACTGAGCAGCCCAAAAACATTACTGAGTTTATCATCAAAACGCATTTTCAGATTAGATTACCTCATTCTGAGTTTTCATATAGAAAAATAAGAGACTGAGAAAATGTTAGTTTGGAATACTCAGCTTGAGAACCCTTCATCTGGCTTTAAGAGGACTCTTTTTATCAGAGCACCACCTCCCGTGACCATAGCCATAGCTTTAAACACTCAATACTTCTCCAGATTTTTCAAATTTCAAGTTGTGAGTGTAGAAAACAAAGAATACAATTAGTGATGACTTGTGAAAAGGCACTATAAGTGACTCTTAGCACAGACAGTTTTCTCTCTCAGCAAAGCATATATTCATATATTTGGCTCTATGAAGCAAAAATCTGATTATATACTGATACAAGCTATACCAACACAGTCCTTTGGACTGAACAGCAATTTAATGTTAATTTGGAGGGCCGTGATTCTGTGATCTTAACTTCTGAAAACAGGTGTTTATAGAGACTGGGTTAATGTGGTTATTTTACAAGAAAACAGACGTGTAAATGTATCAACTCTGGTAATTCCCCAGCAGTTTTAGAAAACTTTGACCCAAATGGTACTTTTCTGCTATCAGACTATATGTATCCTCCATTCATTTCAACAACTGGTAGGAGACGAAGCACTTACTTTGGTCAGTGAAAATCAGATATTCTGGACCTATCTGTGTCTGAGGGGAACATACCTTCTCTTCTACCAGGAGTCTCGTGTAGCTTTGCAACATTTTTGTTCCCATTCCTATCCTCTGCACTCTAATCTCCATCTCATCACTGGTAGTTCCTCATGCCAATTCTTTCCTTCTTTTTTTAATTTATTCCAATTTAAACACTTGCCCAACTTCACCCCTATCACCCATATACTGTTTCCTTCAAATAAAGGAATAAGAAGGAATGGAAAAAAAGTCACTCTACTCTTGGTTCTTACTTCTAGAGCTATAGAGGCTGGGAAGAATAAAGAGAAAGTGACTCTTTTTATCAGAGCACCACCTCCCGTGACCATAGCCATAGCTTTAAACACTCAATACTTCTCCATGAAGCCTTTCAGAAACTTTTAAGAAGTGTTATATGCCTATATTCTGCCAAACTTCAAACACCTGCTCCAAATCCTGGGTGAACTAAATATTAATCAAATGGTAATAAGAATGTTCTAATTAAGGTAACTACAGCACAATTTATTAAAATTTATTTTTTAAAAAAAGATAAAAATGTGATCTTTATCCTAAGATTTTTTTGCTAAAATTCTTCCTAACACAAAATTTGCTTATCCAAAATTAAAAGCCTCCTAATGGAAAGGTAAAGTAGCCTAAACTATAGGTGCTGTTACCTGCTTGCCCTTTATGAATTCATAGATAGAATACAATTTAATAAAGTGAACAGTTGTTGGATAGAAAAGGGATCACCTGTATCACCTAAATAATTTATGATTCCTTATATTTGTTTGGAAACTGTTTCTCACGAAGAGTAGTTTAACAATTTCCCCCCTCCTTAGGCACAAATCAAACTGAGACCCAACACTCTGAAATCTTTATGAAGTGTCTTGTCAACCATCTCTATTTTTTGTATTTATAGATGCATATAAAGCTGGTGTCTGTGAAGCTCCTTTGCTAGGAAAAAGCACAATTATGATGCATTTTATTATGTTTTCATCAAAATAACTGAAGAATAATCTTATTCATACCACTATATCTTCTGAATCTTGTGTTACTGTTTCATTGTTGGCTAGCTGCATGACCTCATTAGTCATTAATTTCCACTCTCATGACCTTCATGTAGCCAACCAGGTGAGCAGTGGTCAGTATAGAAACAATACCCTGATGTGAGGGCAGCAGAATATAGATGCACTGAAACTGCAGAACCATGCTTACAGCGTATGCTAAAATGTGGAGACAGCATATTTATCTGGTTATTTAGAAAAAGAATATAACTGAAATAAGTAGATGTTCTTGCACTTGTCATTGAGAAGCACTCTGCATTTATTTGGCACTTATAACAGTAGCAGCAGCAGCAGCATTGCCCTTGGTGCTGATTTCTTACTACTCTAAAATGTCTCCTCTGAGCCAGAATACACTGGCTGTTGCTGATCATGCTGTGAGACACCTGCACTGGCTACTAGGCTTGTCATGACGCACAAAACCCTACCATCTTCAGCTTGACATTGTGCAAGTTATAATTATTCATCCAAATGAATATGTCAGAGCAGCAGCAGCAGACCTCTCATCAGAGCAAAAGAAAAATACATCAAAACATTATCAACCCAGCAGGAAGACAGGGACCATAAGGAAAATTACCCATTTTTAATATGGATGCCATAAAGCCATGTCTATTATTATACGGAGGGGGGGAAGGAAAAAAAAAAAAAAAAAAAAGAAAAAACCAACCACCCAACAACCCCTCAAGTTTAAAGTCCATGAGCACTGAAAAGAATCTGAAATAGACAACAGCACACACAGGGGGGTGGGAAAAAAAAAATCAATTACCTGAAATCTATTTATATTTTCTTTCACAGGAGTTTATATTCTAATAATGCAATTGCATAATTTTAGTTAAGCCTTGTCAGTTTTTATATTAAAGATGACCAACAAATACTAAAATTTAAGACCTATCAGTATGAAAACTTCATGTTATTTTACTAGAAAATAGGTATAGTATGTTCTTTTTCCCTTTTAGGAACGAAAATTTTCAACTACTTGAGGACCTGCTAAATTCTGCTATCAGTGGTGTTTCAGCATTATCTAAACTTAACCCACATCTTACCACGGCATGAAGATTGCTCACTGCAGTAATTACCATGCATTTTGAAAATAAACACAATTTACACAATTACTACATGCATTGTTTTCCAGAAGTGTGAGGTTCATGTCAGCCAAACAGATAAGGTCAATTTTCAAAAAACACTGTACAACTAAAGCATTTCTATCAGCACAATGCACGGGTTGCTGGTATTTGGTTCAGTATTATAGCAGGCTATCTGCAGCTAGAATTAGTATCTCATGATTTCAAAACAGGGTCTTCAGCTACATACAAACATTTATTGGTCATGTTTTCAAAGAGTCCGTAGGTAATTCTAACTGTAAAAAGATTTCAAGATCTCAAGCGTTAGAATGTCATATTTTTAACATTAGATTTTTACTTGGTTGTAGTGTCAATATTAATACATTCGCTCCCATCTTTAACTTGTCAAAGGCGGCTGCTTCATACCATGTTTTTCAAGAACATTTTATTAAAACATAAGTCCAGCTAGTAGCTTTAAAATTACTAATAGTAAACACAGAGAAGCAATGACTGTCAAGGATATTTGAAATGTTGTTAGTTTGAGGCAACATAAATTGCAAGGCTATAAAATTAATAAAATATACTATTAAAAGTATGTATAAAGTTCGAGATTAGAAACAGTACTCAAAATCCTGCCTGTAGTATATGGAATCCAGTATAATTTAAGGGAAAAACAATATCTGTTTAAATTGTTCCAAACCATACCAGAAAATCAAAACCTAAAAATACAAGTGAAACTAAATATATTTTTCATTTGCAGTGGTCCATTCTTGCAGTTATTTCCTCAAGTTCTCATATTAGATGGTCTGAGGTGACACACAAACCTTGAGCTTTGCAGTCAAAATTATATGCCCATCTTAAAATCATTCTGAGCAACCTTTCAGCCATGTTCCCTATGTAAATTTAGTACCATAAAGACAGGCTTTATTGATGGGTAGAAATCCTCGCGAGAGTTAGAATTATGAAATGCAATCATTTATGTAAAATCTATTTTCCTGAATTAAATGAAATTAAACATCAACTATTTTCTAGAGATAATTCAAATTAACTTACATCTAAGTGGTCACATTTAAATCCATTTAATCAAATACACATGCTCTATTAAGGAAAAAAGATACATGAAATAATGCAAGAGAGACTAAAAAAAGACAATGGCTTTTGGTTCTTTATATTAACAATATCAGTTAAACTATGAAATCAGAATTCTATTAAGTACTTTCCTGTTGTTCTTTTGATTGTAGCTGAAAAAGTTTTATTATGTTACGAAAACTATATAGGATAACAAACTGGGGGACCACCAGTCTGTCAACTTTAGAGGGTGCTTCTTTTCTATAAGACAATCATTTCTCGTACATATATTTTCCCAATATCATTCCTAAAGATATTTCAGCCGTATGAACAGCGTAAGAAAAAAACCAGCCAGTATGAGTGCAAAGCATACACCATGCAAGGTATATCTATATGGCAAGGAAAATATTTATTTAAAACACTATCATAAGGAACATGGAGTTCGGTATTTTTACATTTACATAAGCACATATAAAAGTAAAATGCACGCAGGGAAAAAAGCTGGAGTTAAAAAATAAAGTCCAACCGCTCATTACCACCTATATGTTGCATACGTATCTCAGTTTTTAAAAAAAGATGCATAATACAGCAGTTTACCTGTGGCATCCAGGAAATTGCAAATTGAACAGGAAAATCCACAAGGCAATCCGGTGGTTCTGTTGGATACTGAGGGAGGGAAGGAAAATACAGTTTTCTTTTTTTTAAGTGATTTAAAGTCAGACTGATACTCAGCTGCCAAATTTGATAACGAAATATGAGCACTTCAAGCATCTTGAGAACTTGGCTCTTAGAGGAAACAGTATGTAAAGCATTTTCAGAAATAGTTATGAATGTTAATTATCATTTAAAGAAGAAAGCTACATGTAAACAGTTTTTATATATCAGTTTTTAGTAAAGGCAGGAGAATCACAGTTTTCCCTGTTCAGTGTTCACAAAGACACATTAAAAAAGAACTTAAGACAAAAAACATCAAATAGTTAAAAAAAATTTCTCCTCAATTGCCTGTACTGGATAGGAAATTAAAAAAAAAAAACAAAAAAACCCACGACCCTTTCATGAGTCAAGAACTAATTTTCATCTAAACTAGAATATTTGCTCTGATTGGCAACATTTTTTGTTTTGAAACTGAAAGTAATCAGAGTAAGTACCTAACTATTTAGAAAGAGATAAATGAACATACACCGAAAATTAAAACAACTCCCCGCCCCCAGCCCCAAATTAAAAGGTATCAGTGAGGAAAAATAAAAATAGCTGTATTAAGAAAACTGAAGCTATAAAAGGTTTGATAACTCCAAAAATAACCACTGACTATTCATTACACTAGTAAATCTGTTGCTGTTCAGCATCCAAGATGAAATCTGTGGAAAAAAGCTGGTATTTTCTGAAAAATAATGTAGCAAAGGGAAGAAACATCTAATTACAAATAAACTGTATCCTTTCTAAGAGCACCTGTCCAAAATTTTATTCACCTGAGAAGTTGCCTCTTTTAGTCCTATGCAACCTTTTAAATTCTACCAATGAAGTACGCAGCAGTTTTATAGAAATTGTATTAGTATTGCATCAACTGCCAACACAAGAAAATGTTACAGAGAATCTTATTTGGGGAGACATATGAAAAAACCTCCCAGCTTCCTCACAGAATTAAAGAGGGTTAAGACAAAGAGGCAAAGTTTAGCTGTGCTGCTTCCCATAACCATTCTCCATCCAAAGTAAACCTCTAGACACAGACACTGTCCTTATTTATCAGACATCTGGCAATCAATTTATCAGAATTTTTTAAATGTGTCTTTATTTTATGTAATTTTTACTGTAATTCTACAGTAATTAGTTTCCAATTGTTCTCTATGGCAAAGAGCAAAAAAGAGACACAGCTTCCCTAGAGCACCCATTTTTCATCGCTTTGATTTTAATAATAATCTAGTGGATTTATGGATTTCACAGGAATTTGTTTAAACTTGCTTTTTAATTTGCCTTCATTTGTGGTTTCTGTTAGGTATCCACTTTCTGAAGGCAACTCCTACAACTTGAATATCTTGTGCTTTACCATTTTATCAAGCTGGCGGCAGACAAGTCAAATAACAGTGACAGAGCAAGAGAAGCAAAACAACTAATGTGGGCAGGAGGCGGTTACAACTTAGAAATGTATATCCACAAAAGCTGTTACAGTTTCTTTTATTGTAGTGTTACTGCTTTTGTATTGTAGGCATTGTAGTGGTAGTGTTTTTGTATTGTCGATTTTTTTTTTTTCTATGCTTGCATAGAAATAAACTTGTTTTCAATGTATAAAAGTATGCCTAGAACAAACTAAGTCAGAGCAATTTTTCCGTAGGATTGGTTTTAGGACTACCTCATTTAAATCCCAGCAGCACTAGCCAATTACTTTCTTGGTAAGTAAATTCATTTTATGCAGTCTTTTGTAGGGTGCCTTTGAACAAGTGCTTGCAAACAGATTCTACTAACTTTATATTACTTAAAAAAAAACAAACCAAAAAACCTACAGCACTTTCTCTGTTTTCTTTTTTTGACATTTTTAGTCAAATTTTCTTTAAGAGCACAATATTGTACTGTGCACCAGGTAATTGCCAAGAACTATGCAACAATCATTCTGTACATACTGTTTTTAGACCTTGCAGAGTGAAATCCTATATAAAATAAGGTGAGTAATTCCCCAGGAGATGGTATTTTAAAATGCTATACCAAAGCATATCAATATGTTATTACAGTTACATACAAATGTATATGTCAGAAATCATCCTATTATTCTTTAGAACAATTTAAGCAACTGTTAAACAAAATATTTATATTGTATTTTTGAGCACACAGCTAACTTTATCTAGAAAAGGTATTTTCATAACCTTGCCAAATCATTCAGATAATTACCAAAGCATCTTGATTACTACACGGCATGCAAATTCTTGCAGTGGCCTATTTGAATTCTTGGGATCTGAAATGGCAAGCACCCAACCCACTTCTCATGCAATACAAAACGAAATCTGATAAATAAAACCCAATGTATTTGGTTTTATACTTGCAAAGATGCATGCTGTGTTTTCAGAAAACTTCTCTAGTCATTTATTCAAATTGTGAATGGATAAACATTTCTGGACCAGGCATTTTCAACCAAATAAACTGGAAAACTACTTCACAAAATGTAATCTGAGCATTAAACAATACACTCTCCCATGCGGTCTAAGCCTAATCATTTACAAAAGTCAAAATTGTGTAGCACATGATTTGGCTAACATACCAAACTATGATATGACCATTCTCAATTCCTCCAGGTTTAAATTGATCGCCCCAGGTTTCCTAGACACTTTACAAATGCAGTTTATAGAGAGCAAGTGCTTTGAAAGGACAGTTCCTAACACAAAGCACATTAAGACAAGGATAACAGGTGGAAACATTTGACAACGCATTAAAGAAAAGTCCTCAAAACACATCCAAACCGTTAAGAATGACAGCAAAGGAATATTTAGGGAATTGTCTCAATATACATGATAACCTTATGAAAAAGAATTTCCTAAATCACTTATTGAAGAGTTTCTTCCTGAAAACATTGTCGGCAGGCTTATAAACTCATTTCACTGTATGGCATCCATGAGGACAAGGCTGAACAAACCCGTCTGCCAGAATACAGACAAGAGCCAGCAATATATGCTGGGGAGGAGAGGTTTAGCTCACATACTAACCTTAATCAAAGAAAGAACATAACAAAAATAAGCATACTCTTATTAAAGCAGGTTATCAAAAGAAATCCCTTCAAAAGACACTTCAGCAAAGTCTTTTCAAATGTATTAGATATGTATATGAAGGAAAATCAAATCCCCATGTCACCAAAACTATGTTTCACATATAAATTTTCTCCTGTGTTTAATGTTTAAATGCCAGACATGGTTTAAAAAGGACAAGCAATTGATCCTTCATCATAACAATCACTTGCGGGGGGGGAAGGGGGAGGAGTGGGAAAGATTGATGATTACTTACAACAGACAAGTTGGATAATCTAGTCTCTTTATTACACTATATCCACCGTGTTAGACGGTGCTTTCTTCTGCTATTGGGAGTTTCAACCTCAGATATTTTATTACTTTAAAGAAAATGCACAAGTTTTTACACAAACAGAAAACAGTAATCTCAATTCCCCTTACAGGACAGCGATAAGTTAAGGCTAAACAGAAGCAGCCAATGCATAAGTGTAATAGTATTTGACCATGGGTATTGCACTGTTTTTTTTTTTCCTGCACTTTTATATTTCCAAATAGTTAAAATGCTTTTCTTCAGTTGCCATAAAATCAAGCAAAAACTTAGGGGCAACAGGCTGCACTTAATTTCTAGTGTCATACTAAGTATGGGATAGCAGCTACCTTATAAACAATGACAGTACAGTCTGGTTACTCTCCTCGCACATTAAATAGACCATAATTGTACTTCCTGATACATTTTTTCCATCAATGTATTTAATAACAGACTGACTAGCAAATTATTTATGCATTCATTACTCTATGCATGTAGGATCGTTTTACTCTTTTTTTAAAATCCACTTTAGCAACCTGAATTCCCAAACAGTACTTTTTACAGTCCCTTTTTCCCCTCAAGGTAAAATTTGCTTGTCTTATGTAAAACTAAAAAACTCCTGGTATTTAAAGGAATATAGGATGTCTGTGAAGGTGAAATTTAATCTTACAATACTGTGCCCACTTCACCCCTTCAAGATTATTACTGCAGATGATGGACCAAGGATAGTCCCAAACAACAATGTTTAGACACTTATGGATCCACCTTTTCCCCTAAACTGATTTTCTGAAGACAACAGCTATTATCATACAATTGTCACCGTACAGCCTAGATATTCATAGTTTCTGATAAGAGATTTATGCCTTGAAATGAGAAATTCTATGAAGAAACATTGCAATTTGAGTTCAGTTCTAAGTACCAGGAAGAATGTTTCCGCACACGCCATGGATTTGCTTTGCAAGCACTGTCAAAATCAGACTAAAAAGAAATAATTTTTTTAACACAAGAAACCCACTTCTGTGGTCAGTTTTTCATATATCTATAGTTTTAGCAGTAAGACTTGCTAAAGAAGCAACCCGACATCCTCTAATTCTTGTTATATGCATAGTCTCTGGATGGAGTGATAATGCATGAAAGTCCCCCAGATGGCTTTGTCTGTAATCCAGTAAAATAATTGCAAAATCATAAAGTGCTTTTCATGTGATGCACAGTTTCAGACGAAAAGATTCTTACAGATAACCATAATGCAATATTAATTTTAAATATAGTTAAAGTCTGAAAACTCTGCTTCATATAAAAAAATTTCTCAAAAAAGCCCCCACCGTTATCTTGCAAAACAGACATACTAACAAACAAACCAACTCTCTAAAATCCTTATGAATTAAAAAAAATCCATTTATTTCAAGGAAGCCTTAAAATATTTTCTCCCACATAAATTCACCTTTGCATTTAACTTCAGAGTGACGAGATGCTGTCGACCACAAGAGTCTTCAGCTTTTAACTTGATTGTGGTAAAACCAGTATCCACATACACTACTCTGAAAGAGAAAAGAAAACTCTAACAGCATTGTAAGAAGTACAGTTTAAAATGTCTGCAATGTAATAATTAGTTAAATAACCAACCAATAATTATATTGCAGTTATTGGTTATTATAATATAAGAATTAGTCTGTTACAAATATTAATCAGAGGAAGTCCTATATGCCAACCATTTCTGCTGTTCTAGATTTACTGCTGTTAATACACCAGTCTACTGCTTAATGCAGTCATATATCTTTGGGTTATTTACAATGTGTGTCAAGGCTCATACTGTGGTCAGTGAGCACTGTGTTTCAGTTTTCCATCACTGGAACCTTTGACACACACAGCATGTTCCTGTCAGCCTCTACTTATGTACACATTAAACTTCCTGTCAAATCTTTGATCCATTTCTGCAGTTTCTTACTGTATGAGACTTTTATGCTCTTGATTTGCTTTTCTCTTCAATGAAGTTCTCTTTTATTATCAATACTATTATTGTGGAAAACTCAGTGGATATTCATTCATATTCTGAAATTGATTTTCTGCAGAAAATAGTACCCAAACAGGTACACAATGAGTTATTTATGATGATTTGCCTCGTTTCATGACAGTTTTACACAGTATACATGCACCCAAGCAAGTACCAAGTACATACTAAATGTAAATAAGTTTTAAAACTTCTGACATAATCACTGACTCTTCGCTTAAGATGTCATTGATTTGTGCTTCCGACAACAATGAAGACGAATGCAATTGTAAAATACATTGTTCTCTGGAAATGTGTTCCGCTGCATAGCTTCAACAACTGCCAAAAAGGTTAAAACTTCTCCATATATTTACCAATGCACTGGGCATGTGGATATTTTGGCATTTTTACTATATCATTCTTGTGTAAATATAAAAAGCAGTCCAAGATTATTGTACAACTTACCACCTAGACTGATGGAAAGGCCTATCAGAGTTCAAAGAAAGCATTTGCTTGCTGGCCTAAGTAACTCTTTTTTTTTTTTTTTAAACCATTACATACTAGTCCGGTCACTCAAGCCAGCATGCTGGGAAAAATGGTTCTCTTTCAAGTGAAACTGTCAATGGAGTTGTAGAAGCCTGTACAAGAAAAAGTAGACATACACCAAAGGGAAGGAAGTGAAAAGAAGAAAATAAAACGATCTACATAAATGACATAGCCTTAATATGAGGGAACTGAAAAATACAGATAGAAAAAGCACTAGTAAAGAGATATTATTTCCTGTTTAATGCTGATTAACTTTAATGCAACATTAAATAGTCCTACAGATTCCTGGGAGCATTTTGACACTCCTTTTCTCCACAACAGTTGAAAGATATACAAGTCATGATAAAAGTGTCATTCAACTGTAGTCAATTAAACTTGGTTTCTTTAGAAAGAATTAGAGCATTCTTCCTCTACTTGGAAAAAAAATCATTATTTCCGCTTTGTTCCAACTTTACCTCAAAATTATATCACAAAGTTTTATAAAGATAAGAAACTACCTATATCCCACCCCTCCATCTACTGTTGCCTGGGGTTGGGAAATCCTAAATCAGCAGCTAAGGCACAGAATGGTTACTGCAATAAAATATATAGCAGTGTCAAAACCAAAGCACAACTGGTGCCTGCATCAATGCACTGTGAAGTTAGACAGCAAAAGAGAATGGAAAAATTAAAGGGATGCTGTCAAGGTGTTTAGGATTTAAAATTATCTATTCTGACAGTCATCTTGTTTGGACCCTTCACTCTTGAGGTGCCAGAAAGGTATGGATTATTTTAGTTTAAAATTAAACACTTTTGCAGTTCCTTACTCTATATTAGGTGGGAGGGAACAAGATCTAAAAATTATTTTTATTTCTTAGATAACAATGGACATACATATCTCAAATTTTATTTCTGAAATCCTTAAGCGTTCAGTACTTTTACAATTAGTTTAACAACCTGACAGCCTCTAAAATAAACATATATACATGTGTGCAACTATTTATATATTTAAAATATAAATAGATGCACACCACTATATTAAAAATAAGTGACAATATGATTATGTTCAATCGTATTTGTAAAGAGCCTTCGCATTCAGTTTTATTGACAGTGTAAATTAGACAAACTTTTAAAAAAAAATGTAAGCATTTGGAAAAGGTGCTAAGAGCACCAATAATGGCTACCTGTTTAATTATGTATAAAGGGATACATCATAAAGTGATTTTCAAGTTCTGTCCGTTATTCAATTTTTAACATATTTTTAGTTTCAGAATTCATATTTAAAGTAGCTTTTAAAACCAGTTTAAAATGTGATTTTCACTGAGCTTGGAGATAACAGAAAAAAGCTGTAAAAAAATGTAGATCATCACCGCTATGAAGCACCACTACAATCCAGACCAATCTGGAAGTTCTTACAACTTTTATTTAATTTTGACTTCAACAACTAGCCGCTAGTAGAAGACAACTATTCAAGCTAAATAACACAACACCTTTTAAGTATCATTCATTACAAACCATGTACTTAGACATTTTCTAGTAAAACGTTCTCTTCCCTTTCAAACTTTTTCACAAACAGGAACACCAAGGAATAAAAAACTCCTCAGACAAGGGGCATGCAGGGTTGAAGAATGCTTAGAATGAAAATTCATAGCTAGCCTTCCTTCTTCTCCACAGAATGTAAAAACAGTAAACTGCCTCCAAGGAATGAAGGAGGATTCAATTTTCTATTTAGTACAGAAAAAAGGAACCCAGTAGCTTTGTGGCTACCTGTTCTGTAACATCACTCTACCATTCTTCGGATAAGAAGAGATGAAAGGGTCAGTTCCGTAGGACTGAAGAAAGTTGGACAACGCTGTAAAAGTCGTATGAATGTCTTCATATGATTGTATAATCAAATAAGGAATTGTTTACACAGGTCACATTTCAGTTATATAAACCTTTACTCCTCTGTAGGTGCCATCATTTTTTCAGATAGAAAAAAATGGAATGACCATAAAGATGGAAAGCCTCAGTTAAATCTCTGAAGTACTGTAATTCAGCATAACACACATGTGATTGAGAGCACATGACAAGGCAGGATTCCCTTGGAAATGGAGAAGGCAAGAGGAGAAGATACTTTCTATGAAAAAACTTGGCAAGTATCAAGCAGAAATGCATTGAGGCTTGAGAGATCATGACTCACATCAAGGACTTAAGAGATACTAACAACTTTTATGAATCCACATGAGGGTGATAAGGGTCCTACAAATGTTTTATAGTCGATAATTTACCTTCCCAAGACATTGTCATTGAATCAACTAGCGAGATTATGAGATAGTATTAGAAGAGCCTTTCCTATAGCTAATACTACTACATGTGTACTCTCTCTCACCTCAGCTGATTAGGTTTGTGCTGGTATTTTTCCATGTTCTTAAAATGAAGGAAGTATCCTCCTTTGAACTCCTCAGCTGTTAGGACAGCACTTAGCGTTGGAAATTTGGTACAATTTTATAACCTGTTGAACCGTGACTTTTGTGTACAAGTATTTGAATATGAAAGCATATTCACCCTCCCCCACACCTAAATCAGGTCAAAGAATCAAGTTTTCTGTATCACAGGGAAAGTGATTATATCTAATCACAGCAGCCTGCCCATTTGCAATCCTCATTGCTGTTTGTACTTTCAGTGGTTTAGGAAGAAAGAGGTGTAAGATCATTGCAGATAATGTCTTCAATTTGTTTCTGAGAAACTTCACATATTCCTTAGATAAAAGCCATCAGAACACACTAAATTTGTGCCATACCTGAGAGCTTCTTAACTCACTTCAGAGGTAAAGAAACCATAGCCTATTGCTTTGATTCTCTTTCAAACAAAATATCCTTCAGTTTTTCAGTTGGATTTGGATGCAGTCAGCTTCCAGCATGACCCAAAACTCACTAGCAAAAAGTAAATCTAGGGTCCACAACAAGCCAGTTCTTTTCTAAGAAAAATCCTCATAAATAAAGCTGGAGGCTTCTCCAGGTGTGAGCAGTGATTGATCCTTACTGCCAGTACTAAATGCAGGCTTAGTTTTGTGCTGAAAAGACCATACCAGGATGCTTTTAACAAACATGCAAATACACATCACCTGCAACTCAAAATCAGTCTAGGTTAAGAGGCCTTCTTAATAGTTCATTATATTGTTAAAAGCACACTAAAATTAGAGGTGTAACTTACTAGTGTACTTCAAGTCGCTTCTCCGGGTTATTCTCCTTCCAACTCATAGTAAACCAAATATGATCCCCTATGTACAGCCTAGCCCTTTGATTAATAATTGACTTCCCCAACCGAAAAAACCCAATCAAATAGAGACCTTATCTGGAACATAAGTCAATCGAGAGGTGTATGTTTAGTGAATTACATGACTACACCGGACAAAAGCACAGCATAAGTTGCGTGTCTACATGAAGACCATCTTCGCCTAGAAACTGGGTCAAATTCTGCCCTAGAAGCATGATGATAAAACACTGATGTGCTTATTAATAATAAACCACTGGATGTTTTGTATGTACAGCAAGTCAGAAGAAATATCAGTTTGGAGATAAGGTACTAAATTGTATTTCCAAAGTGTATTTTTAGTATATTTAGCTATACACATTTTATATATTTGTATCTTTAAGGTATATTTATTTTATGTCAGTGTCTGTTTTGCTGGCATGGGCTTTTTTTGTTTGTTTGTTTTGGGGATGATTTTGGGTTTTTTTTTCCATTTTGGGACAGCAGGCATGATTTAAAATTTATTTCCCATGTGTTTAGGAAATTTTAACTAATATTCTCAGACCCGAGTCTGAGAAATTTGAATAGAGAATGTCATCAGCAGGCACAACTACATACTTAATAATGGAAACCACTGAAAAGTCTTCAGCTGATTTAACAAGGATGTTTTAAATCTTAAAATAAAAGTGGGCCTTCAAAGCAATTTCCTACTTAATGTTAATCACATGTTATTTATTTATATATAAATCAGGTGAGAAAACTCAAAACTATTCTTAAACCCTTCTTTATTTAATTTAGCAAAATAAACACTTGTTAAAGTTAACTTACTATCCAAGACTAAGGTAAAAGTAGATTTGTCTTGTTGAAAACCACAAACGTAGACCTTTTTTTTTTTAACTTTCATTTTACTGAAACTAAAAAGTAGCTTCTCATTCAAAACTCTTCAACATCCTACAAAATCTTTCATCTTAATCCCTTGAAAGAAGGCACTGTGAGATTAATTGCATATTATTAGTTAAAGACAGCCTTCACACATATTTCCTTAATGCCTCCCTACACAGAAACAACTACCTTCTTCAACCCCATAGAGGTCTCCTGGAGGTTCTAGGGGAAAGGATAGAAATCCGTCCATCCCAGGCTCTCTGCTGGAGCAGTAAAAGACTCAGTATCATAGAACGTGCCAGTGGTGGCACATGTGATGGCAGTTAAAGCCTTTCAAGTAAAAGTCTGCAAAACAGGAAGCTTTGCAGGTTTCTGAAAAATTTCCACATGGAACTTGTGTACTTGATCACAACTGTGTGTTCCTTCAGGTTTCTATAGGAGGTATGAGGAGAACAACCTTGTTTTCCTCTGTAGGAGGATGAAATTAAATTTGTTCTATGAGCTCATCTGAGAGTATATGGGACTGTGAATAGTATAATCTGTTTGCACTCATTCAAGACCCTAATGAGAAGGCACCCAAAGGCAGCTATGTATACATTTCATTCCTCAACGAAGTCAAATATCCTTTCCTAATGTGACATTGTTTCCCATGGTATTAAACCAACCATTTTAGTTGGGGTGAAAAGATTCACTTTTAGTTCTCCTTCCCCCAGAAGACTTGAACTGTCACTTCTTGTTCCACAGATACTCAATTTATAGTACAGCATATACATGAAACCATGTTCTTGGGTGCACTGAACTTCCATCCTCAGGTGACACAGTTTATACTCTCCCTGTGCAGTAACTAACATTTTTCCCGCTTGGAAATGCCCCCCTCCTCCCCCAAACACGGTCTGCTTGCACAGTTTTTGGAGACTAAGGAATGCTTTTCCATAGCCCTCATCTCTGTTTGAACCCATCTGGGTAGCAAAAAATATATGTAAGTTTCTCTCTGTGGGTGTCACAAAGAGCTGGCTGGTTTGAAGTTCTGGATTTACAGCTTTCCAAATTCTCCCCTCCACTCACATATTTTTTTGGTAGATTCACCTTTTTGTGAATTAACTATGTTATTCCTTTGTCTAAAGAGATCCCTTGTGCTATGGGGAGCAAGATAGAACTGTTCTTTAAAAATAATTATTCTAGTTCTAAAAAAAGTATGAACTGTTTTTATGAAAGCATAAAGGTACAGGATGATCAACCAAAAAAAGCTGTACGAAGTAGGGAAAAGGAGGAGAGCTATAAAAGTTGTATTAAATATATTTACTATGCCAATAGTTTATAGGTCAAAGAAGAATTGATTTCTTAGTAGTAGCATCTCACCTTTCAGCTCAGTTATTTGATACTGAAAATATACCTTCAGTTGATACATGTTTGTTGTTTTTTTTTAAATTAAAAACAAAGCAGCAGAGTTTTTAAAGGAAAATCAGTTTCTGAACAGGATAAATAAATAGAACAAGTACATTTGATATGTTCAACTCTCAAATACAAAAAAAGAACAGATATTCTAAAGATAATGTCTGTTAAGAAATAAAATAAACATACTTATTCCAACCCAATATTTCTAGATCTCTGACAAGACAGGAGTAGTATTCTGGCGGCCGTGATATATGCAGGTCTTGTGTATTCTTTAAAGCAATTTCCTGTTTAAAAGAACATTAAAAACATCATTAAGAGAGATTTCAATATTTTTGCATCTATTTAGTCATGTGATTTTTGCAATTCATTCAAAAATATTAAGCTTATGTAAAATTAACTGTACACTGCATTTGTTTTGTTATAGCCTCCAGCTAAAGCAGACAAAGAAGCTGTTTGGTAAATTACTTCAGATACTGGTAATGAAAACATCTGCAATTTAAAAAAAAATCCACAGATGTTGACAACATAGTCTTCAGATGCAAATATCAAATGTGCCTCTTTTTCAGCTAATAAATTTGAAGTCAAGCATCTTGACTGAAAGAACATTTCAAAAGAAGGTTCTATTAAGCCCACAGCTGTCTCCTGGGCTCCGCAACCACAAAAGATGACACATATATGAAATCCCCCATATTATTTTTAAGTAGCTATACACAACTTTATATAGCAATTAAAAAAAAAAAAAAAAAATCAATTTCAACATCATAGGATCCCAGAGAGTAAGTTTTGGTACAGACACTCATCAAGTATGTCATAATGCCTCAAAAAGAAATTTTTATCAAAAAGGTAATGCCACGTTACAGAGAAAAACAAAACCAAACCACACGTTCCACATTCATGTTGTTCTTTAAAAGTATACTTTTTTCTTTATTCCTTAAAGTATTCTTTAAATAAATATTTTTT